AAAAAAAAAAAAAAAAAAGTGGGTCTACTTCAGTGATTTCAGAGAATGAATTTGCTAATTAATGTTGGCTTTTAAATGCTTTAGCCATGTTCCACTATTACCCACCACTTTTAAAATCCCAGTTTAGGTTCAATGTAGCAGCAGATAGCAAGAATGCCTAAGTAAATACTAATTCCTGAGAAGACTGAGCTATCACTGAATATACCTTACCAAGTTATAATACATAATTATAAAGAGACTAAACTCTGATTATTAAAAACCTTAGGTTTTGGAAAGAAACCTTAAATTCAAGATAAGCTTTAAAAAACATATTGAATTAATATGACTTTTAAAATTATAATATGGAAAAAATATTTTGAAAGTTGGCCATCTTTAGTGTATTGAAGCATATTGAAGCCAGGTGCTAAAATTAAATATATAAATGATAATCTAAATTGTAGACCTTAAAAATACTAGATCTTTTAGTACAGTTGGCTGCCACCCTCTGTATAACTAGTAATTAATAGCTGGATTCATTCTGCTAACTAGATTGTCAGAATTCGTCTTCATATTGTCAGTGTTAACTTTCTACTCAATTTTCAATTTCCTTGAGAAAACTTCACTAAAAACAAACTGAATCATTTTCATCTTCTGTCCATTATTCATTGATTGTATGTCAAGGGGTTTATATAATGCAATCCCTTTTGCCCAGAACTAACTTTAATGATATCCTAGTGTTGCTGAAGTACATCTCCTTACTGTACTGAATTATTCCTAGTTTGCATTTTTGTGGATTTCATCTCATTTGTGTTCTATAATTGAAAACAATAAAGTAGGGAATTGGATAGGCTTTATTTATTTAGTTGGCTTCCTTATATTGGAGGACCAATATAAACACTTTAGTATTGCATATAATCTTCATTCCCCTGTGAAATAGTTTGAAGAGATGGTGTATCCAGGGATACAATTATTAGAAACAAAGCTGGCCCTTTCTCAGAAAATCTGGGTGAAGTATAGTGTTTTGGATATCAAACCAAAGAATATTTCTAAAGCTAAAGGATTTTAAGTATTGTAAATAATGTAATTACGTTATTGTTTATTACACACCTACAGAAATCTAGCTTTTTGCATCCTGGCTTGTGTCCTTTTTCCTCTCCTAAGTGAACGAGTCCCATGATGCTTTGGTTTTTCAATCCAAATTGATCTATTTTCTCTTTAATTGCTTTTTGTCACTGTATGTCAACTGAATTGACAAGGACTGGCCCCCAAAAGAAACCCCACATTCATGAGCAATTACATTTCCCCTTCCACTCAGCTCCTGGCAACCACTTATCTTTTTGTCTATGTATTTGCCTATTCTGGACATTTCATATAAATGGAATCATACAATTATGTAGTCTTTTGTGACTGACTTCTTTTACTTAGTATGTTTTTAAGGTTCTTCCATGTTGTAGTTTGCATCAGTACTTCATTCCTTTTTATAATGAATATTTCATTGTATGGACATACCACATTTTATTTATCTGTCAATTGAAGGATATTTGGGTTGCTTCCACTTTTTGGTTTCTGTGAATAATGCTGCACATTTGTGTACAAGCTTTTTGAGTGGACATGTTTTCTTTCTCTTGGACATATATATAAAAGTAGAAATGCAGCCCTGGTCTATGTGGCTCTCTGGATAGAGCATCTGCCCACTCACAGAAGGGTTACGGGTTCGATTCCTGGTCAACGGCACATACTGGGGCTGCAGGTTTGATCCAGTCAGGTGCTTGTAGGAGGCAACCAATCGATGTGTCTCTCACATTGATGTTTCTCTCTCTCTCTCTCTCTCTCTCTCTCTCTCTGCCCTTCTACTCTCTCTAAAATTCAGTGGAAAAAATTTCAAGTGGGAATTAACAAAAGAATTGCTGGACCATTTGGAAAATGTTTAACCTATTGAGGAACTGTTATTATCCAAAGCAGTTGCACCATTTTGCATTTCCACCAGCAATGTATGAAGGTTCGTTTCTCCACATCACCAATGCTTATCTTTTGATTTCAGCCATCCTAGTATGAAGCAGCATTTCACGGTGGTTTTGATTTATATTTCCCTGATGGCTAATGATCAGCGTCTTTTTATATGCTTACTGGCCATCAGTCTGTCTTTGGAGCCCATTTTAAAAATTGAGTTTTGGACATACAGATGGCCAACAGACATGAAAAAATCATGTCACTATCAGAGAGATGTAAATTAAAACCACACTGAGATAATCTCACACCTGTCAGATGGCTACTATCAACAAATCAACATGACAAGTGCTGGCAAGGGTGTGGAGAAAGGGGAAGCCTAGTACATAGCTGGTGGGAATGCAGACTGGTGCAGCCGCTATGGAAAACAGTATGGAGTTTCCTCAAAAAAAATTAAAAATGGAACTGCCATTTGACCCCGCGATCCCACTTCTAGGAATATAACCTAAGAAATCCAAAGCACCAGTCAGAATTTATACACCACTATGCTCACAGCAGCACAATTTACAATAGCTAAGATCTGGAAACAGCCCCAAGTGCCCATCAGTAGATGAGTGGATAAAAAAGCTGTGGGGCATTTACACCGTGGAATACGATGCAGCTGTAAAAAAGGATCTCATACCCTTTGTGACAGCATGGATGGACCTAGAGAATATTATGCTGAGTGAAATAAGCCAGGCAGAGAAAGACAAATATCACATGATCTCACTTATAAGTGGAATCTAATGAACATCATAAACTGACAGACAAAATAGGTACAGAAGCATGGAACAGACTGACATATCTCAGAGGGGGGTGGGGCAGATGGGAAGAGATTAACCAAAGAACTTATATACATATATGTATAACCAATGGACACAGTGTGGTGAAGGCCTGGGGTGGGACAGGGGCTGGGAGGAGGGGGGGGATAAAGGGGCAGAAGTTGGGGAACATCTGTAATACTGTCAACAATAAAAAATAATAAATACTTAGTTGTCTTTTTAGTGTTTAGCTACCACCACCACCCTTTTTAATCATCATCCCTCATCTCTTCAGAGCTACCTGGGAGGCAAACCTTGCTCAGTCTGTGCTAATTAGTGGCACAACCCAGCCTACAAAAGAACATACC